GAAATATTGATGTAAATTATTTGTGGTTTCTTTTAAATAGTTTCAATTATCTGTTTTGAAAAATGATGAAAATTGGTTTGAAAAGTTTCTTATTGTTTAGCTGAAGTACGAAAAGATGTTAGCAGACAATTTCAAATTGCAATATTATTAGGGGATGTTGAAGAACATGTGAAATTTCTTAGACAATGCAATCAAAGTGATATTTTATATTTTTTCTCTATGAGATTGAATTATGTTATGTCTTTTTTTATACAATAGAATCATTTGATGAAAAAGTAATTTATTATGAACAAAAAATACTCGCATGTTAATACTTCATCCGAGAGGGTTTAAAAAAAATTAAAGCAATTTTGAAAGTTTTATTTTTCGTTTTCTAATATCTTCAATTGAAAGTCTTGAAAACTAGTTATAGGTTTTCATGTAAATATACCAATTTTTTTGAGATATTAAATAATTTCTAAACAATCTTTAATTGTATTCAACACATCATTTATCTAAAGAGTTTTCTGTACTGTTGTATAAAGAAGTTTATGATGATTCTCGAAGTTTACCGCGACATTGAATGATAAAATTTTTTTTCTAAAAGACATTTCAAATAATCACCATGTCATAGTTAGTTTAGTTTATTTTCTCTGATTGATATTCATTAGAATGTAGATTAAAAACAAAATAAGAAGACTTCGTATTCTGTTTCAAAAAAGGAATAAGCCGGTAGACTGAGATTTTAACAAAGTTATTACTATTACTTGTTCTTTGTTTAATTGATATGTTAGATATGAAATAATAAGATAGACATACATTTAATCAATATTAATCTCGTGTTAAATTTAGTAATTAAAAATAAAATATTTATTTTAGATACCTGATATAAATCTAAATGCTAAATTAATTTTACCACCATGTTCAATAAGTCAACAAGAATCAAAGCAAATTTAATATCAAACATAACAGCAAAACTTGCTTTAAATCTTCATATTGATGAAACAGCAACAAGTGGTTGAGATTGGGTTTATGATGAAGTACCAATTGAAGGTGATGACGATGATCTTAATAGAGAAAGTCTTAATAATAACCAAGATGAACAGGACGATGGTTGAGGTGATACTGAAATTGAATTACCACCTGGTCTTGTATGTTTTTATTCAAATATATAAATTATTGGTTTATTTAATAAATATTTTTAAATTTTTATTTTAATTATTAAGGCGTGATGCACGTTCACCAAAATTATTTTATCTAGCAGTTGGATTTAAATCAGAAAAATTAGTTGGACGTTGTCAAATCGTTTATCGTTTAACAACACATGAGAAATTTCAAGAAGCTGTTGAAAAATTTCGTTCAACATTATTATCTGTTGCATTATGTATTGTTGAATCACGTCAAGATATTTTTGAGAGTCAACAATTAACTGAAATATGTAAAGAATATATTGTTGGTTTACAACTGTTAATGACAAAAAAAAAGATTTAGCAAAAGATGATCATGACATTAAAATCTCCATTTAAGCATTTGAAATTAAAAAATTATAAAGCTGCAACAAGCTTTGCCATACGTTTATTGGAATTGGAACCAGCATCTGATGTTGCTCAATAGCTTTTTAGCTTTAGTATTAATCTTTCATTTTCAAACCAAATATTCTCATTCTTTCTTGACTTCAATTTTGAAAGGTTTTAAAATAAACCAAAAAAACAAGAAAGAAAACATATCTTTAATGCTTTCAAGATATTTCAAATCTGTTTATAGAAATTTTTCATGTTTTTTTGATTTATTTGAAAACAATTGAGTTTATTCTTTGTTAAATGAAACATAATTTTGATTGAATTATTTTAGAAGACGAACAAAAAACAATAAAAACTTTTTTTTTGTGTTCTTTTGTTTAGACACGGAAAGTATTAAGTGTACGTGAAAAGAATCCAATTGATGAACATCCATTAAATTATGTTGAATATAATTCATTTAATATTTGTGCAGCATCCTATGTACCACATTTATCGGTAAGAAAGTTAAAAATGAAATCGAATTTAATTTAAAGTAATCTTTAATTCTTCTTTAGTGAAAATCCATTATCCAGTGCAGCCCATTTATCGGAATTTATAGAACAATTATGTCAAGTTACAAAAGCAACTGAAATTGGAATTCTAATTCTATTATCATTATTATTAACTTTTAATGCATAGATTTATCATTTTGAAAAAGTAACTTATCATTAGAACGTTTTTCTCGTATTTCAAGATAAAGAAATCCGTTTCTAAAACGAGAATTTAGAATCAATACATGTGTGTGAAATAAGTTCACTTCAGTAGACATTGAAATTCTATGATAA